ACAAGCACGTTCAGACGTCTTCAACTCTTGATAGATTCCATTCGTTGGTCAATGTGGACTCTGCGAGGTGTACCCAATGTTGTGTGGGGTCTTCCAAATAGACCCGTATAATCCACTTGATTATTATTGCCTCGTTCTGTTTGTTTAGATCCACCATTCTCAAACCTCTTTCCTCTCGACGCAGGCACAACATTTTTCATGCCACCTTAGAAATAAATGCATCAAGATCCCGGGCAAAGGGTTTCTAGAGGAACCTTGTCGCGCGTTTCCTTATGAGCTTGTAAGTGCAGTCCCTCATTCGCCTCACTGTCCCCACGAACCACAACAGTGCGAACAAGGCTCCATTCAGCACCAACGATCTTCCGAATAGAGACAAGTGGGGGGCTCTGCCCCACGTGGTCAACCTATGGAGGGATTTCTGGAGTAGCAGATCGTCCTATGCCGCTGCGCAGTCATTAAGGAGATTTGCACCCCCAAAAATCTTTTTGAACCTTCTTTCTTGATTCTCCTCATCCCCTATTCTACTGCGGGCTCGTAACGTTTAGGGAGAAGATACACTGATTTATGCCAGTTGATGGTCGTTTCTGACAACGTGGAGTACTCGTCTAGGCAAGTCTTCAGCGCTATCATCGATTCGTGCATGTTTTCTGATACTGTGAAGGATCATCCACAAGCGCCTTCACCTTGTACGATGCATACCCTTGATTTGTGAGTGTTCTCTTATGTTATTAAGAACCACCTCGAACTGGACTGCGAACAGCAATGGTGCCAACGGACACCCCTGCTGCGAACAGCAATGGTGTCAACGGGCACCCTTGTCTCAAGGACCTTGTGAGTGAGAATTCTTCTGATTGTCTTTCGTTGATCATCACCGCTGCCGTTGAGTAAACATGAAGTGCCTTGACCCACTTAATGAAGTTCTCACCAAAATCCATCCCTCTGAGCGTGATGAGGACGTATGACCAATTCACTCAGTCGTATGCCTTTTACAAGATCAGCAACAACACCGAAATGCTTAAGTCTTCTCTCTGAACCATTTCCAATGTTTCAGTAACTGTGAATCTGTGATGGTATTGTCGAAGATGGACCTACCCCGAACGAAAGCAGCCTGATCTACTTTCACCAGCTCTAATAAGTATCGACCTAACATTTTTGTCAGAGTCTTCGCCAAAATTTTATATGAAACATTTAGTAATGGCACTGACCTCCAATTCCTGATCTCTATTCGGTCTCCTTTTTTTAACAGTACTGAGATCACCTCTCTGCACATGTTGGCTGATAACCTTCCTCCGTCCAGCACTTGATTATAGATTTTCACTAGATGGGTCCCGATGGTCTGCCACAGTTCCAAATATAGCTCTGTTGGCAACCCTTCGCACCCCGGAGTCTTACCCTTGGTCATCGTCTTCAATGCTTTCAACGCCTCTGCTTCTATCACTGGTTTGTCCAAGTCAAGCTTTCCTGGTCTTGAGATTTTGATGAAGGAGTTTTTCCAGTGACTGTTTCCTTCTTCAAGAATAGAAGTAACTGCAGCTCCCTCTGTGCGGGAAGTAAGAATATCCCTGTAGTAGAGTGTTGCAGAGTTGCATAACTTTGTCAATTCTTTAGCTGTCGCTGCTCCGTTATCGAACGGGTGTTGAAGTTCCGTCACTGGGACTGATGATCTGCTAGGTAACAATCTCTGGAAAGACTCCCTGGTCATTCGATCATATACTACCACCCCTTTCACTTTCAATCTTTCCGCTCAGGCTTCTGATTTCTTCACCTGTATTTCATCCCTGTCCTTCAGCAGTCTGGCTCTTTCCCTTCCCCATACCAGTCTTGAGATGAGATGTTCCTCCATCCTCCTCTCTGCGTACTCAATCTTCTTCTTTACTTTCTCCTCTTGTTTCTTCGTCCCAAATGCTAGTATTCGTGAGAATACGCTTAAAAGGTTAGATAAGATTATGATCCCAGCGTCCCACCATCTTACTAGCGAGTCGTACAACGATTTCACGTTCTGCCAATCTGTCCAGAACGTATCCATTCATTCTCTTAGCTAGGGTCTTCCAAGCTCTGCAGGTTGAACCGGAAGTATCCCTTGCCTCTTTTTATTGAGCTCGTTGTTAGGACCATGCTGATTGACTTGTGGTCTGTTATTGACTGTGTATCGACTGTTACCGAACCCACTGTCTCTCATAGTAGCTCTAATGAGATCAGGAAGTAATCTAGCCTTCTGCTAATTACCCTCATTTTTGACCGTGGGTTCGAAAACCACGTATAACCTTGTCTATCAGGGTTACTCAGTTTGTATGGGCCTATCAAATCGAGATCAGACATTAGACTTAACAACATCACCTTATTTGGCGTAGCCTACCGGTTACACTCCGGATTGTGTGAAGGGTAAGATTAGAGAATCGTTTTGTCACAGTGTGGGATTATATACCACAGCTCTTCGTAGAAAACTCTTTTCTCTCTTTGATATGTTGGTCTGTAGACTATTCTACTATTGCTACTAACCATTCTTCCTCTTCAACTAAGAGCTTCACCTAAGCCCATTTCCCCCAGAGATCCGCAGAAAAAATTATAATTACCACTTCTAAGTTCTTGTGAATCACGATCCCTACCCCTCCCCTCGTGCCTTGTGTTGGCGACCACAATTGTGGCCCATCCCACCAGTTCCCTAATGCTTCCAACTTTTCTTCCCCTAGCTTTGTCTCCTGTAGGCATACGATTTGTTCTTTATTTACATGGATCCATCTCTTTAATCTCTCTTTCGTGCACCTCCCCCTTGTGTCTCCCAATCCCCTCATGTTCAATGATGAGATTTTGAGTTTACCCATTTGCTTCCCACTCCTTTACCTGGAGTGGGTTGCTTCTCCGTTGCTCAGCCCCTGTGAGTTGTTGATAGTCCCTGCCAACCAGCTCACGGTCAAATAATTCCGCAAAAACGGAGATTGAAGTTTTTTCTCCTTTGGAAGCTTTGCCTCCAACTCTGGTAAAAATTCAGCCGAGGGAAGAGGCCGCACACCTATCTTTCGCAGTTCCTTCTTCTTTTTGTTTGTAACCCATGCTTAGCCAATTGGAAGTAAGCGTAAACCCTCCTGTTCTAGGGTTTCCAATTGACCCCATACAAATCGGACATCCTAACTCGAAATAAAGAAATTGATCTTCTTTCCGTTTTCTGGATTGTCCACTATCAAACGAGGCATTAGAATCTCTGGGATCATACAAAACTTTGTCCACTATCAAATGAGGCATCAAAATTTATGGGATCATACGAAGCTGGAACAACTTGTCTATTATAGCTGTCCGAACTACCGTTGCAATTGTTGTCGGCATCGACCCTCTGGTTACCTTTGTTTTATCAATTATTCTCTCGTTGACCTTAAACACGTAGCTTCCCTCCCTCCCATTCACCGTCATTTCCCCCTTGGATCTATTGACGCTGTCATGATCCCTTCATCATAGTAGCATAGCCTTGCCAACTCTCTTATCCTATCGTCGTCTTCATCTTGAGGCTGGTTCTGGTGCCTGTGGCGGGGGGATCGGCCCCCTTCTGCCATCTGTGTTTCCATAACGTCAATCTCCGAATGCTTCCCCGTTTGAATCCTACTCCGGCCCTGCTACTGATGTCAACCCTAATTCTCATTTTCTCTAATCTCCTCTCGACAACACTTTCCTTCTTTTCCGAGTCATGGTTCTACGTTCTCTTGCTGTTTCTTGTGTCACACTTCTTTCTGTCTTCTGTCTGACTTGCCAAGGTCCGATTATGGGCGCGTCTGTGACTGCGTCCTCCATAGCTGAGGCTACGACCTCCTCGGTCAACGCGGAAGGTGTCGAACGCCGCCCCTGCTGTGGTTCCTATCGCGCCGGTAGGTCCCACAGCCAGAGACGCGCCTATTGTTGCCAGAGGCCCGTCGCGCTTGGTCCGAGCATTGGAATTAGCGTCGCCGGTGTAAGCGTGCTAGTCAGGTCAGGCCCCCAATTTTGCGTCTGATCCCACAGTACTTACGGTTAGTAAAAAGCTGCGTTTTGGCGGATCCCACAGTATTCCGATTTCGTAGGAGGTCCCGCTAGCTTCGGAGGCGAGTAGAAACATTTGTAGTCGTGGCCTGCAGGGAAGGAACGGCGCCGAAAAAGTTGAAGGGAAAATGCAAGAGAGCTCTGCCCGTACCCTGCCGCGAAAAAGGAGGAGCACTTTTCTATTTTTTTTTCTGGTGGGCTGGTTTGTCCCTGGTTCGGTTTGCTGTGTGGCACGACGTAGGAGGTCCTGGTAGTGTCCGTGCAAGTGGACCCTTTTCCAACCCCAAAATCAACCAGCCCATGGAAAACCGCGGAAACCCAGGTGAAAGCTGCGAACGAAACGGGCCAGTGGTGGGGTCCCCATTTTCTTTTACGGCCCGACTGGAGCGGCCCCAGCTTTTTGGTTACTTTTACGGATTCGTCTTCCGTAAGTAGAGTGGGATCAGACTCTTTTTCCGATCCAAGTTTGATCACGGCCACACCACTCTCAAAATGTGCAAAATGAGAATGAACTTCCCGTTAGAACATGGCCCGATGCGGCCTCTTCATTTTTGTCTTTTTGACATTTCGAGAGTGGTGGTGTGGCGCGGCCCTGACCATGGCAGTGGAAGTCGCAACAAACAATTTGGGAGCGAAGAGGCGGTCCGGCGAGGGAGGTGGGACGGACAAGCTGGTACCGGTAGTCCGGGGCTATGGGACTACCGGGTAGTTCTGTGTGAGAGAAATTTTTTGTTACCCCCACACGTTGGCTTGGCTAGGTGTGGGGGCGGGGAGGGAAACCAAGACGCCTGACGGCGTATCACCATTGGTCTCTGGGATTGGGATTGAGCGAGAGAGTAAGACGTGGAAGGAGAGAGGGAGAGGGGGTAAGACGTGGAAGGAGACGTGGAAGGAGAGAGGGGGTGGGCGGTTGGGCAGGTAGGTGGGTGGGAGGGAGGGAGGGAAGAGGAAGACGAGGAAGGAGGGTCGGTCGGTCTGCCGGTGGGCCTGAGCGAACCAGGAGAGAGAGAGAGAGAGAGAGAGAGAGAGAGAGAGAGAGGAAAGCGATGCTCGAGCATGCTTTTCGTTTAGTGAATGGACGCGATTGTGAGCCACGTGTACCATCTCAGAGGAATCACGTCCGTCTTCGTGGGCAAAAAATCGTCGATGGCTGGAAAGATATCGTCGGAGAATCAACACAGGTACCATACATTCTTTGTCCGCTATTATACAGCATTACTTTTTTTTTTTTTTTTTTTTTTTTTGAGAATTGCAATCTAAGCCCATGAACAAGGCTTGTTTGCACATGCTGTAAAAAAAAAAAAAAAAGAAGAAGAGAAAAAAGAAGAAAAAAAAAAAAAGGAAGAATGTTTGCAATGTCAAACTCCACGTCACAGTCCACGTCACGTTCGACGTCTTACCCGCGCTATGTTCCGCCCGACCTGCGCAATGTTCCGCCCGACCGGCGGCGCGGAGTCTGATGATGATAGTCTTCCGCCCAGCGCAGAGTCTGATGATGATAGTGTGTACGTGGACTGCTATGTTCTGCCCGACCTGCGCGATGTTCCGCTCGACCTGCGCAATGTTCCGCTCGACCTGCGCAATGTCCCGCCCGACGCGCACAATGTCCCGCCCGACCCGTGCAATGTCCCGCCCGACCCGTGCAATGTCCCGCCCGACCCGTGCAATGTTCCGCCCCCGCCCGACCCGCGGAATTTCCCGCCCGCCCTGCGCAATGTCCCGCCCGACCTGCGCCATGGCGCTGCATTTGTCTGATTTGATCAGGAATCGAACTCAGTCTCTCGCTCTCAAAAAGGAAAAAAAAAAAAAAAAAAAGGGTCTCTCGCTCTCTCCCCGTCATCAAGGTCATGTGCGTGTATCATTCCTAGAGCCTCATGGGCGCGGCGCGCAACGCCTTTTACCCCCACGTCTAATTTTTAATTTTTTTTTTTTTTTTTGAATAAGCAAGAAAACAATAATTGCACTCTTGTTCTGCACGAAAGCAGCAGAGCAATGAATGAAAGCGGACGTCCTTGCGGGTTAACAATCGACATCTCTGTCCAAGAGGCGCAAGCATTCGCTGCGCCGCGGTCATCGATTACGATAGAATATTGATGATGGTGATGATGCTGGTGGTGATGATGATGATGATGATGGTGATGATGATGATGATGATGATGATGATGATGATTAACAGTATTTCTTACACCCACAAGTCCACTTCTGGACATTGTTAACGAAAAAAAAAAAAAAAAAAAGAGCGATACGACCTCTACAAGCCCAGCCTCAGTACCTCGGCGTCTCATCCATAATCGAAAAAAGAAAAAAAAAAGGAAAAAACAGAAAAACATAAAAAGAGAAAAGTAAAGAAAGCAAATGAAAAAGAAAATAAAATAACCAGTGTTACATCCCTGCTATACCTGCTCTCTCCCCTTGGCTTCTTTCCTCTACCGGACTTCCACAGTAGGGGGAGGGGGGGGGAGAGTAAAAGGAAAAAAATGGAAAAAGCAAAGACGAAAAAGGAAAGTGCAGGTGCGCTGCATTTCCATTTCCATCTGTCTTTTTTTTTTTTTGAGTCTTTTGTAATGTATGTATATATGAAGAGTCGGTGAAATTTCGACTCAGCAGTCTGTCACAGCCCCCCTCGCTTGTTCTCTCCCCTTTTCCCTCTCTGCCTACGGTTCACCGGGCAGTTTATATAAAAATGTATAACAGGAACGGTTCACCGGGCAGTTTATATAAAAATGTATAACAGGAACGGTTCACCGGGCAGTTTATATAAAAATGTATTACAGGGGAAGTTGTAAGGAAGAAGATAAAAAACGAAGTGATTTTTTTTAATTTATTTTTTCCTTTTGTTCTTTTTCGCCTTTGCGCTCTGATATTTCTGTGACGATATATGATGATGAGTCGGTGACACTCAGCCGAAACAGTTTGTCACAGCCCCTCCCTCGTTTGTTGTCCTCTTCTCCCCTTCCCTCCCCGCCCTCTCTGCCTACGGTTTACTGGGCAGTTCTGTTTGACCTTATATATTGTCACAAAATGTTCTGTTTGACCTTATATATGTCCTCTTCTCCCTCTCCGCCTACGGTTTATTGGGCAGCTCTGTTTGACGATATATGTATATCTATATAGATATTGTATATAGAGGTTCTGAACAGGGGGAGTTATAAGGAAGAAGATAAAAAAATGAATTCATTTTTTTCTGTTTTTCTTTCTTTCTTTCCTTTTTTTCTTTTTTTCGTTTTTGCGCTCTGATAATTTTGTGACAATATATATTCTGTGCTGAATCAGCTCTCCTTCGGTATCCTTGTGAACATCCACGTCATCCTCAGCGTGCCTGTCCTGTCTGCCGGGTTGGGGGTGGGGGCTCCTCTTCCTGACTGGTCAGTAGAATCAAGCAGGTCAGGACTCAGGAGCAACACTAATTGTATTGTAGGACAGATAAAGCTTTCGACACTACCAACAGATACGGAGTTGAAGAAAGAAGAAAGAAAAAAAATTGAAAAAACGAAAAGAAAAAGAAGAAAAAAAGAATAGAAAAACGAATTGCTGAAGAAAAGCAAAAAGAAAACAAGAAAAAATAAATAAATTATGTTGAACTTTGTTGTGACAGTGGCAAGTGATTTATCTGTGGGATGTGTCATTTTTTGCTTTGTTTGATTGACTGATAGGCCTTCCTCTTCCTCTTCCTCTTCCTCTTCCCTTGTCCTTTCTTTGATTGGATCCTTTTCTCTCTTTCTCTTGCCTCTGTGAGTTCTGGTTTCCTCCTTTTCTTTTCCTGTTTTTTGCCTTTTGGCTGCGTGCAAGTGGGTCCTTGTGACACACGCGGATGGGGGCAGCCAGCGCTCAACCTGTCATCCACGTGGCTGGCCTTGTACGTAAGAGGTCATGAACAGGCGGGGCTTTCCTTCCTTCTTCTGTCCCTTTTTTTTTTTTTTTTCTTCTGTTTTGTTGTCTTTTTTCGCCTTCGCGCTCCGATTCACAGTGTGACAATATATATGTATAATGTATATATATTTACAGTGTGACAATGCAGCCGCCGCTCAACCTACATCCACGTGGGCGGCCTTGTACGCAAGAGGAGTTTCTGAACAGGGGGAGTTGTAACGAAGAAGATTAAAAATGAATTAAGTTATTTTTGTTTTCCTTGTTTTCCTTGTCTTCTTTCGTTTTTCGCTTCGGCGCTCTGATATCATGTGACGATATATATGTATACAGTATATGCATGCATATCTGACGGTATATGTCTTTATATAGATATATAATATTAGCGTCAATGCATGCACGTTTATGTGTGACTTTGCATAATGTATTTCTGTGCCACGAATATATTTCTGTGTATACAATGCATGATGTATGCCTGCGCCACGTATGCTTGTATACATTGTTCCGTACGGACGTAATTCCTTTATGTATGTACGTTCGTTCACACGTGTACACGTGGCACGTGCGCGTACTGGTGTATTGATTGACATGTAATGACAGTTTGCCCAAAAAAAGAAAAGATAAAAGAATAAAGAGAAATAAGGGGAAAAAAAAAAATAAAGGAAAATAAAGGGGGAAAAAAAAAGGAAAGAAAAAGAAAGAAGAGAACGTGAAGGACAGAATTGTCGTTGTCAGAAAACGTCGCTCCAAAATGCCAAAGTCTGAATGTACCCGGCCCTCTGCCCTTGTCTGTACACGGGCAGGCACCTAGGCCTATGCACCTGGGCCTTTTCACGTCCAGGTGCATTTCGACAGTGGAAAATATATTTTTTTCCTTCTGAACACCACACCCACTCTCGCCCTTCTATTTGGGGTTACGCCAGTCTAGCTGCTTATTACCGGCTAGCAAGTTTACAGGACCAACCAACCAACCAACCAAAAAAAGAAAAGAAAAAAAAGGGGTCCTTTAGGTCTACTTCTCGGAAGCAGCAGCAGAAGCAGCATTGGCCACGAATTCCAGTGGCCATTGCTGAAATGAAACACGTGTACAGATGCTTCTGTACACGTGTACAGAAGCTTGTGTACATGTGTACAGAATTTGCTGTACACGTGTTCCAATAACTCCTCAGGACGTGCACTTTCGTTCGACCGCCTGCTTAAGCGAGCGGGGGAGGAATAAATGGGGGAAAAGAAAAAAAAAAAAAAAAAGAAAAAGAAAAAGAAAAAGAAAAGAAAAAGAAAAAGAAAAAGAGAATAAAAGAAAAGGGAATAGATGAAGAGAACACGTTTCATTTCCTTTCACATTCACATTTCACTTCATTTCACATTTTTTCACATTTAATTTCCCATTTCATTTCATGTTTCATTTTGCAGTGGTTTCACATTTTCGTTTCACATTTCCGTTTCCCATTTCCGTTTCGCATGTTCATTTCACATTTTTGATTTCACATTTTTGATTTCACATTTTTGAATTTCACATTTCACATTGTATTGATGACCGCTGGTTATGGATTATATGAAGGTATGTGAAATCAACTGCAAGGAACCAACTGGCCTACCTCAAGGCCGTCCCCCTTTTCCCAACCAAAAAAAAAAAAAAAAAAAAAAAAAAA